TTTGAGGATGATGGTGCTCGAAATCTCTTGCTGTGGGTTTCGTGTGTGCTTAAGATAGAGTTAAGGTAAGGAATTGAAATTGAAGCAAATATCAAAATATGAGTGATTCACCTCAATCGGAAAGACTAAGGTTACATCCACTGTAATGAAGATTCTTGTCCTTTGAGGATTATATTACTTGAAGAAGAAGGTAACAGTTACAGTAGTTTTTGTTGTGAGCCCTTTTACAAAGTATTTCTTAGGTAGACTATGAAACTCTCTCTATATACAATGGATTCGTCTTCTATTTATATGCCTTGCTCTTTAGGGTTTTTACAATTCTTCCTTTTTTGGCAGATTCTATGGTCCCCTCCTTATTTGTTCTACAGTGGGGTCTGCCAGTTTGATGTTTTTTGCATCCACGATCATTGAAACGGAATGTATGAGATATTCCCTTTATCAGTGAATATTTGTTCGTTAGAGCGTCAGATATTGTTCCCTTGTCCCCTAGCCACGTGACATGACTGGGGTTACTTGAGGTCCATCTTGTGTTGAGCTCCTGATTTCCGAGCAAGTACCTACAGTTGAGCTTGTTGGGGCTGGGTTGGTCTATATCCCGAGCTGGATGATTTTGGGCTTCCACGGCTCTTGGTTGTGGCCCAGTCCCATGATGCGGCGGACACTAAGTAGATGGGCCTTTTGGATTTTTCTTTAATGGGCCCGTTGGATGTTTTGGGCTTTAAGTAGACTGCCCAGACTTAAATCTATCATCATTAGAGAACGTGGAATAGTGGTAGTAGTGTAGAATTTTTTTTTTTAGGGTAAATAAACTGAATTTTATTGATAGTAACATAATACTCTAAATCTAATACAATCAGAGGGGAAATAGGTGATTCGATAGTGACATAATACCATAGTTTTAAAACCCGACCCGAACATCAACTCAGGAAAAAGACTGGGTTGATGGGTCTCTAGTTCAATCATTGGGTCACTTGTCGAACCGATTATATAATAAAAAATAAATAATAATTATAAATAGGCTAAAAATCATAATAATTATGAAAATAACATGCTTAATATATATTAAATCAAACAAAAATCTCAAAATCATCAAACACATATTCTTTTTTTTTTTTGAAAAAAAATTTTTATTGAAAAGAAATCAAAGTTATCTCAAACTTAAGGCCGCACTGGAAAATTTCCCACATTTTCTCAAACTTAAAATTCCTACTTGCACAACACATTGATTGGGGAATAGAATTCAGTCCAAGAGGAGCCAAACACCTTGGCACATGAACTAGCTCAATGGGGATTAAGGATGAAATACAGTGGAGCACTTCATGGCTCAAATCTCCCGTACACGACTAGAGTTGTAGCACAGTATGATCTGAGTAGTGATTAGTTAAAGTAGTTAGAGTAGATAGAATAGTTTAATAAGAATTTAGTTAAAGTAGTTAGAGTAGATAGAATAGTTTAATACGAATTTTTGCTTGTATCCTCTTCCTCAATTATCAAAAAACAAAAAGAATGGTTGAAGCACAATTATTCAAAATAATCGAGTGAAAAATTTTCAACTTATAAATGAACCCAATTCAATCTATACTTATATTCGCACCACTAGGACTAAAATGAATTTTTTATAAATCATATACACAAGTAAAAATTTACCAGTAATTCAGGCAAAACGACATTTTGTGTAAAAATCAAGCCACAAGAACTGAAATCCAGATGAGAAAGTACAAATTATGTGGTGAATTTGCATGATAAAGCTGCTTTATAAGATTTAACTAAATTAAACACCAAAAAAATCAAATCAAACAAGGAAATAAAAACAGAAATTAAAAAAATAGTAGCAGAAACAATTCCCAAAAATCTACAAGAGAATCAAATTTTACCTCTTCAACAGCAAGTAGCCTCCGGAATTAAGATTCATTTTCATATAAACCCTACCAAACACAACACACCCGATCGATTCTCCTTTTTCACCAGATTTGTTGTGCATCTCCTTTTTTCACTTTCATCGATCCAGAATTCGCAATCAAAGTTACTGTAGGGATAGGAGGTTTCGAGAATAGCCTAAATATCCATTTTCTCATACTTGAACCGATTTTCTCATACTTTACCTTGTGAAAAACCTCCCAAATTATAGAGATATGAGAGAATTGCAAGTCCAGAGTTCACAAATCACCAATCATTAGCAGCACACTCTTCTTAGTAGAATTGAAGAAGTGGAGAGAGAAGAGAGAGACGCAAGGAGGACGCGATGACGAAGAGAATTTGGGAGAAAAATAGTTAGGTCACGTCTGAGAAATGTAACTTTTCGATGTACCCAGAAAAAAAAAGGTCTAGGATGTGAAATAAAACGGAACTCCATTACTTTTTATTAGAAATTTTGTGGCCTTTATGGATAAATGCAGGCGTTGAACTGCGTTTTGTCTACGTGCCACCAATTAACCGCCGACTTTTTTAATATTTCTTGTAGTGGGTGGTGCTCGAGCTTGAGGAGAAGATGATTACTGACCACAAAGATGTTCAAACCTCATTACATTAACTACAAAAGATTGTTTTTCCATCATTCCTTAAACCAAATTATAGTCATTTATCATGACGAATACAATCACTATCAAATTTGTGTTCACTACCATTTTCAACAACCCTTGGATCATCCTACTCTCAGCTAAAGTTCTTGAAAAAAAAAAAAACTATAAGACTTGAAGCACCGGTTCTAGCCATCTCCTTCATGATTTCAGCCAACTGGTCAAGCAACCCTCCACTCCCTTCATTGCCTCCATTGTCAGCAGAAGAGCCGTTACCGTGGCGGTGATCGCCATTGCCATTGTTATGACCATTACCGTTGCCTTCTCCTCCATTACTCTTACCCTATCCTCCATTACCCTTCCCATCCTTCCCCATTCTTACTATTCTATTTGGTCTTCAACTTTAAGCCACTGCAGAAATGGTTGTGTAGATCCTTTACCATCTTGTGGGTTTTACGAGCAAGGACAATTGACTCATCTATCCAAAGAATCTTGTCAACGATTTTCTCTTTGGTCTTTGAAACTCCCATGGAGGTAAGGGGGTGGGTGGCTCCCATGGCTATTGCAACGGTCTCTGCGGTAGAAGATGCCAATGCCAACTTGGAGAGAAATGTCGTTACATCGGCATTTATCAACAAGCTAGGAATGTCGGTTTTAGGTTGCGGAGGTCATTGGGATGGATGAAGATAGACATTTCACTTTTTGTATAAGAGGAAAGTGGTGGGCAAATGTCCACTTCAGCCGGCCAGCGGCACACATCAACAACATTTGAAGAATAACTCCGCGGGCAATCGTCATTTCTCTCTCCTTTCTGTTTCTCTCTCTGTGTATTCTGTTTTTAAGGTTACTGTGAGTAAGAGTGGAGATGATGATAGGCTGATATTTATAGAGCCATTGTTGATGGGTGGGCCAATTGTTTGTGCCTTGGTTTTTTTTGGTTTAAGCCTGAGTCAGGTTTCTTGAAGGTGGAGGATAAGTTTGGTTTGTTGGAATTTTTTTTTCGTTGCATTTTCCTTGTGGTTCCAATGAGATGCATTTATTGGATAGAAAATAATCCTTACCATCATCAAAATTAACCATGATTTGTCCCATCATTTGTAACATCCAAATGCAGCCAATCATCAAACTTTATATTTAAGGCCCAATTATGGTATCAAAAACTAACTTTTAGATATTATACTTTTATTTTTCGTTCAACAAAAATGAGACATGTATAAAATTTTTACCTGTTTTATTACTTTATTATTTTTACAATTAATCTAACTAAAATCTTTGACTATTGATCAATTTTAATATATATTAATTATACTTATCTTTCATTAGCAAAGGGCAATTTTGGTAAAGGTGTAAATGCCCCCAATATCTTAAATTGAATATATGATCGGATTGTATGTGCTTGGGAATAGACCTTTAAAGTTTGGTCCTTGTATTATTCAATATTTTCTTCTTGGCATCTATTTATTTTATTTTGGTTTATACCACTTGTGGTCTCCACTGTATACTTTTTGTCAATTTAATCTTCATTGTATCAATTTTTTTAATTTGTTCTCTAAAATATTTAATTTGTTTCATTTTGGTTTCTATACAGACGGATCGTCAAATTTTTTAATAGAATGATCATATGATACTGTCTAAAAAAATGACACGTGGTCAATTTTGTCAAAAAACTTGACAGTCCGTCTATGTAAGAATCAAAATGACAACAATTAAATATTTTAGGGATCAAATTGATAAAATAATGATTAAATTGACAAAAATGTATATTTTAAGGATTAATAATGGTATTAACCCTTTAATTTTCTTCTAGTGCACATTTTGTCAGAAAAATGGGCGACTTAAGTGGGTGAAGAAATCACATTGACATGTTGTTGTATGCCTTGTTAAATTGCTTTCAACATTTTGAAATTTAATGTGCATAGAGCAAAATTGATAACTTGTACTTGTTATATTTTACCCTCTTTTAAATTGAGTTTGTCCTATTTTAAATTTGAGTTGTTTTGTTGGAGAAGTTTATACCAAATTAAACTTTACCCTTTTTTACTAAAATTTGAATAAAAATTTGGGTTTTCACTGGAGTAGTCTAAATTATATCAAAATTAAGGATAATCTGTGCTTGAAGACACCATACAATATAAGTAAAAATTGTTGAATTTAAAAGAGAGAATTTAATGTGAATGATTTTGTGAAGAACGTTACTCGTTATTAATTAAGTTTGTTGGTTTCTTACTTGTATTCGTATTTACATTTCCTTTCTTTTTTTACAAAGAGAATCTTTTTCTGCATATGTATTTATATTTATTTTGTTTTGAAAAAGAATCTCGAAACTTTTCCCTCCTCTCTCTCTCTCTCTCTCTCTCTCTCCCCCCAAACCAATGTCGATCAAATGAAACCCAATCCCCAAAAACCGTGTTCTCCCATCACAACGCTCTCTTCAATTTGTTCATTCTGACTACAACACACATATTAACCCTAAATATCTCTAAAATGCAAGAAATGTTTGGATCAGTCCGACGATCACTGGTGTTCCGTACACCCGACAGTGGTGGCGGTGGTGACGAAGGCACCGTCGGAACCCTAGTCGACAAGATCAATTCATGCATCCGCAAGTCAATAGTCTTCTCCAAGCCCTCGCCACAATCACTGCCTCCAACTACCAAGGACAGTGCGCCACCACCACCGTCAATTCGGTGGCGGAAAGGCGAACTGATCGGTTGCGGTGCATTCGGCCAAGTCTACATGGGAATGAATCTCGATTCCGGAGAGCTTCTTGCCGTTAAACAAGTTGATTCTATAATTCTATCGGTTGTTAATTTTCGGTCTTAGTGATAGACACATTTATTATGTATTTTTTGGTTGTTTATTCAATTATTATATTTTCAGGTTTTGATTGCAAACAGTGCCTCCAAGGAAAAAGCACAGGTTGGATCCCACTTTCTAGTATGCAACGGTGATATAACTCCTTTTAGTCACTATCAAAGCCAAGGAAAATAGTTATATATATATATATTTATATATATATAAGCTCAATTATGTGGGTTTTTCAACTTAGAAGAAGAGCTCAGTGTGGTTGTATTTGGCTCATCGTATTCATTGTCTAAAAAGGATGGGAGAGATCTAAAACGGGAGCTACATGATACACATCTAACCAATTTTACTTTATGGAGCAAGGAAAAATATTAGGTTTGATTAAATCAGTATCTCCTTTATCTGTTTTTCTTTTCTTTTTCCTGTATAACTGGGCATGCAAAATGCAATGGGCCGAATTTATATCTTCCTGCATTGTCCTGTAAACTAAACAGAGCACTTATGTTCATCATTGTCATCGTCGTCGTCATCTTGTTGTACTTTGGTAACCTTAGGGTCAATGAAGCGTAGCTTTTCATTTTCTTAGGTCCTAAAATGAAGAACAATCTTTGTTCATTTCTTAGCAACCAAAACAGATTTATGTATTGAGATGATTTTGGAATTTGAAACCTTTGACTTGTGTTCTGCTATTTGATCATGATTTATGAAATTATTGCCTTGACCTTAATCCTGACTCAACTTAGTTGAATGCTTACTTGCCATAAGCAGGCACACATTCGTGAGCTTGAGGAAGAAGTTAAGCTTCTTAAGAATCTTTCTCATCCCAATATTGTTGTAAGTCCAATTTTATAATTAATTTTTCAGTGAATTTAGCTGATCTCAAATAGTTGGGAACTGTTGGGTATTTGCATGTGTGGGAATTCTACATCAGATAGAAAATATGTTAAAGTGTCCTAATATACTGTTGATGGGCTCACCACCTATAGGCTTAAGCTTCTAGGTGGGGTATGAGTTCTAGACATGTATATTGAGCCACTGGGCTCACCAATCTCCCAAGAACTTAGGATATTGACTTTGTTAAGTTGAGCTGAATATTTTTTCCATTGAATTTGTGTAATAATAAATATTGCAACCATGTTCATCATTGCCAGAGATATTTGGGAACTGTGAGAGAAGAGGAAACTTTGAATATTCTTTTGGAATTCGTACCTGGGGGATCTATATCATCACTGTTAGGGAAGTTTGGATCTTTCCCCGAAGCAGTAAGTCAATGGCACTGTCGATATTTTGATATTTTGGTGGATTTGCAGCTCGTCTTTGTCTAATATGTTTTATCAAGCAGGTTGTAAGAATGTACACAAAGCAATTGTTATGGGGGCTGGATTATCTTCACAAGAATGGAATTATGCACAGGGATATTAAAGTATCTTTTGTCTGATCCCTTCTCATTTGTTCTATAACCATTTTTGGGAGCATTGATATACATTCTTATTTATATTCAGGGGGCAAACATCCTTGTTGATAATAAAGGATGCATTAAACTTGCGGATTTTGGTGCATCCAAACAGGTTGTTGAGCTGGTACGTCCATTATTTGGTCTTTCAATTTCTATTTGTTTGTCGAGGTTGTTTTGGTTTGCAAAATCCCTTGTGGTCTGAATACCCCTTTTAATGTGATGTGGTTACCATAGGCTACTGTTACAGGTGCTAAGTCTATGAAAGGTACACCATATTGGATGGCTCCTGAAGTCATTCTCCAGACTGGTCATAGATTGTAAGGACAACCAGAGCCCTATATACATCTTTGTGATTTTATTTTAATGATGTTTTCAACATGATGTTGGAATATGTTATTGTTTTTTAAAAATTGAGCCCCCTATTGTATGATGTAAGTCTTTGAAGCCATATTCAGACCCATGACACCTGTACCTCTTGGCAATTGGCCTAATCCCGGATATCAGCTTGAACCCAATTACACTATGTTTATTAAGATGGTTATAAGTGTCTCTTATGTATACAGTCATTGGGTTGAGATGTTCAACATCATGCAGCTTGATACAACTAAGATAGGAAGCACGGATACAGACACGGTTGTTGTATCCGATACGCTATGGATACGGGGATACGACAAAATTAAAAAATATAAGACACTGGGACGGTGAGGATAGGGCTAAAATAATATGACATATTTTTTAAATAATAATAAAGTTGTAATATATTAAAAATAAAGCATATATTATAACAATATTAATACTAAAACCTAGAAAATATTAATTTAAAAAAAAAATAGATCAAAATAAATATTCATCACTTTCATCAAACATTATTACATCCATTGACATTTATAGTATATAAGTTAAATAACAAAAATTATATTAAAAAATAAAAATAACACATCTTTTAATAGTCAACAATTTTTTTTTTTTGAAATTCCTCGTCGTATCATGACCATATCTTAGAAGGATTTTGACCATGTTCGATTGGGTTCATTATTTATGACACTTTTAGCCATATCAGACACGTGTTTGGCGTGTTTGACACTTGTTTGACACTGCCACGACACCCCTTTGGAAAGTATTCGTGTGCTTCCGAGCACCTATGGTAGTGTGTGTCAATTGATGCACTCTAATAATTGTTTGTACAAATTGGTGCCTTGGACCTAGTGGTAGTTGGTGCGCTAATGTGGAGCTTTAACATCTCTACTATTTCAGACTTGATAGGATGTCGGATGTCCTTGAGGGTACCAATTGCATTCACTATGTGCCATGGTAATTGTATCAAAACAATTGAATGGATTCAATATGTCATCTCTACATTACATGATCTGCTGATAGTTCATTGCACCATTTTCGTTATACAGATTGCTCCATTAATATGCTTCTTTTTCGATTGTCATATATGTGGTATTTTGTTGAAACCAATAATTAAAATTTCGTGGCCGAAACATTTTGACCGAAACGGATCAATGATTGAATTGAAATTCCAATACTTCGAAGTGTTTTAGAGTGTTTCGAGGTGTTTCTGGATATTTTAATATGTGTTCACCAATTTTTTGAAATGTTGAGGTATTAAAAGATATTTTGGTACATTTGACCAATGTTTCAGAATGTTTTTGTAAATAAATTCTCAAATTTTATATTCGTTTCCATTAGGTTTTGGAAATATTTCTGAACTATTCTTGAAACGTTTTTGTTTCATGAGTGATAGAAATAATACATTGAAATGAAATTTTGATAATTGGTTTAAACATTTGCGCTTCAAAGCTAGTTACTGATGTAACTATGCTTATATAGTTGTTATGCCTTGCTAGGAGTTAGAATTTCATTTTATGTGATTAGTTTTCTCTTGATTAGCAAAATTTTGTGTTTAGTTCCATAAATCACTCCCTTTTCTTGTCATTTCATGGTTGGTGCTATGCTAATCAAAAAGTGGTTCTGCAATGTTTTTGAGTTTTGTTCCATGATAACAAGTTGAGGTAGTTTTGTATTTCTGGTCAAATAATTCTAGTTAGTTTAAACTAATGTGACATTAGTATAACATATGTTTGCATGTGTTAGTTTGATTGTTTTCATACCCTTAAATTTGATTCTTTATATTTTCAATCCATTTGATGTACTTAATTTCATATCATAAAATGCACCTTGTTATATTTCTTTTGGATCTTCTGTTGTCACAAATGTCGGTGAGTATTAGAGTTCACCCCCTATTGGCAAAATAACACCTACCAACCTAGTATATGATCTTTCTATGTCTCTCCAGTCATAATCAAGGGGTTTTGGGTTGGATGCTCTAACGTGGAACTAGAAGAGGGTTGAATGTCACCGCGCTCTTGATAATTATTTGAGAATATCAATAAGTCATACTTTTCATTCCAAAAAACAATTCAGGCCCATCAAATTTACAATTGAACAATCAAGTCCTACTTTTCCTTATTAATTCCAAAGAAGTCCTAATTTTTACTATATTCCATTTTTATCCTTTCAGTGGTAATTATGTAACAATTAAATAACCACAAAATAAAGGCAATCTAGGAGTGAGATTTGTTCCGTGAGTCACCAAGAGCTTGGAAAACAAAGGTATTTCCTCATGACTTCAGAGACAATACGAGTTTTTCCCACAATAGTTATTTGCTCATGATAGATTAACATAATACTTAAATTAGCATAATGCTTGATCACCTAAATGGATATGATATTACATTAGATAATAATAATACTTGCATGTTTTGGGCCATGCCTGGCAATTTTATTTTGAAAATCATCAAGTTATAATAGTGATCTTTGCCTTTAGGGAAAATACTGTTTACTTTGTACAATCGAGATAAGAATGTCCAATCTTCCACAAAAACATCCAGCATAAAAGAACTCTTCAAGATAATAATATTGTCACCTATAGTATATAAATATAAAAATAAAATGTGAGCCACTAATTGATAAGTAAAATGAAAAAAATCCACACGTATAAAATGATAATTACATGAAATCATTGAGGGTATACTTTACATGTTTCAATGAGTGGTGACCTACAAGAGGGATCTTCTCTTATAATATCTCTTCTTATTCTTTAATTATCGATTACTACTAGTCTTTAGAAGACATAAACAACATGGTTCCAATGACTGTACACACACACACACACACACACACACATATATTATCAAAGTAATAGATTTGATTCACAAATTTGGTTATTTTGACATCACGAAAATGATCCTTATCGCTCAACCACAAATAATAGATCAACTTACTTAGAAAAATCATAGATTGGGAGAGCCTAATTGATGTCCTTTGGAATTGTTAGTGGGGTTGGAATAAAACCCCACCTCTTGAGTGTCCTATTTTGTGGTTATTTGATTAAAAGAGAACAATGACACCTTTGTAATTAACAATAAAAGGATAAAAATGGAATATGATAAAAGTTATGACTTCTTTGGTACCAACCAAACCAAACCAAACCAAGCCAAGCTTTATGTCTCAATCATTTGGGGTCAGTTATATGAGTCCGTTTTCGCCATTCAGGACTTCTTTGGTACTAATTAGGGAAAATAGGATTTGATTGTTAAATTATAAATTGTATAGGACTGAATGGTTTTTTGGGAGAGAAAATAGGTCTTATTTGTGTTTTTCCCTAATTATTTTTGCATGTTTCTTGACCTAAATCTGCACAGCAAGTGAGTGAGTCTGTTGATGTATATCAGTATTTATTTTACATCTCCTCTAAGTGAAGCTTTTGGAGTAGTCGGTAGTTGAACAAAGATGAACCCCTTTTACCATTGGTTGGAATATAAAAAAATACCTTATTTTCTCTCCCAAGCTGATACTTTCTTTTTCTCTTTTGGTTGGAGGACTCTAAACTTGGTAACCTTTAACTTTGTTGTGTTTGCTTTGACACTGTGTTCCTACATGGATTGCAAAAGCGAGAAGCATCTCTGCTTGGGTTGTTTCTCGGTGGATGCTTGATCAGTACAATGGTTGCTGCTCTTTTGACATTGCATCTCATGTTCATTTACTTAACTAAATTAAAACGAATTATGAAGGAATTTCTCATCAATGAACATGCTAGTCAGAGCAGAATGTAATTTGTGGGGTATGTGTTGCTCCCATTATTTATGCATGCATCCCTCAAATATCCTGTTTAGTTTCACTGCTGTGTCATAAATGTCCTCCTGCATTAGTGAAGATCTCAACTTCAACCACATGTAGTGTATGTTTGATTTGGCTTTTCATTATCATTCATTTTTGATAATCTCCTAGCTCTGCTGATATATGGAGCGTTGGATGTACGGTAATTGAGATGGCTACGGGCAAGCCCCCCTGGAGCCAGCAGTACCAAGAGGTACACACTTCAAGCAACTTTGGTCAAATTACAGTTTTCTCATTGTTCTGCCTACTAATTATGTACTAACTAACCATACATTAGTTTCTCTGTGTTAGTGTGTTCCTCCATGTATGTTGTTCTAACAACAGCCTCCTTTTAGGTGGCAGCTCTCTTCCATATTGGGACGACAAAGGCTCATCCACCAATCCCAGAGCATCTCTCTGCTGAGGCAAAAGATTTTCTGCTGAAATGCTTAAAAAAGTAAATATATTGAGATCTCTCGTATTATTCTTTCTGCCCCTTATAGTAAACCCTCAACCCTAAACATGAGTCTAGAAATGATAAAGAGCAATCTGGCTACAGTATATTGTTTGAATTTTCTGATGTTTGTAATTCATTGGTGGGTGCCTAGAAAAGAATGATACAGGCTAATGCTGTTCTGGTTCATAATTTGGCCTTTTATTGCTTTTAATGTTTAATCCCATACTATTATTTAATTTGGTTAATTGATGACAGTTTTTCTCCCTTTTCTCCCTTGGGCACTATTAATGTGAGTGTTACAATATGCAGGGAACCAGAGTTAAGGCCACCTGCATGTGAGTTGCTGCAGGTGATTCTGACTTGATTGTTAAACTGATTGTAGGTTTTAAAGATTTGTTTTGAAGCTTTGGGGATTTTTTTTGGTATAATATTGTTACTCTACTGATTAAATGCAGCATCCTTTTGTTACTGGGGAATCCATGCAGTGTCCTGCTATTGTTCATGCTTCTCCCATGGTTGGTCTAGTTGGAATGGATTCTACGATGCGTAATTGTTCGAACAATTTTCTTTACTTTTTAATTCAAGTATTCTCGTTGGCTTCAGGAAAATTATGAAATCCCTCTCTTTTCACATGGGAGAAATTCGGAAAATATGTAAGCATCTCTCTTTGGTGTATTTGAACCTTTAAAGATTGTGTGTCTTACTATGATTGTAAAGGCTTGTGATGCTGTAGGATTGATTCTTTTTGTAATTGAATGACAACCAGCACTGACTCGATGGATGTCTGTAATTTGGGTACTCTGAATTTTTCAACTGTAAATTCCGAGAAATTGTCAGAGAGCAGATATATTGGGGGAGCAAACAACAGTGACGATGATATGTGTCAGATTGATGATGAAGATGATTTTATGGTGGGTGCAGAAGCGGAACGCAGTTCTGTCTTGATCCCGGACGAGTTCAGTAAGGTGTGAATCCACTTTCATTTCATCAGGGATTTTATGTTCTGTGAGCATATAAAATCTTTGGGAATTAACTTTTGCTGTACCATATATTTATTTGAGTTTTAACCCTATATGTGAGCCCTCCGATGCTTGGAGGTACAATAAAGGTAAGAGTTCTGAGTTGCAAGAAAGATTTACTTTGAATAATGGCCAGATTGTCAATAGACCTGTTGGTACATGTGGATCATCTGGAAAAGATGGTGATGATTTCTCCTTTAATGGTGGGCGATCACTATCTGAGGATGATGATGAGGTTACTGAATCCAAAATTAGGGCCTTTCTGGATGAAAAGGTAATTTTAGTTGTTTGGCTTTTCAATTGAGTGGAAATGAACAATCACTAGGTGTTAGCTTCTTAATTTGAGATTGCAGTGAACTGTTATGTTTTTCTCATTCTTGCCACTATCTCAGGCTCTAGAACTAAAGAAACTGCAGACGCCTTTATATGAAGAATTCTACAATAGTTTAAATGCTTCTTACGCAACAGATTTTACTGAGACCACATGTGATGACAGTGCTCCAAAGTACTTGAAATTACCTCCTAAAAGTAGGTCACCCAATCGGGCTCCAATTGGCACTCCGTCTCCATCAGTTGATGCTTTAACTAGTGCTAGCCCTGGGAGTAGTGGGAGACGCATCTCAATTATTGGCAGTGCAAGTAATCAGAGTCCAGATGATATTTCATCCCCTCAGCATAATGATCAGAAAAGGCTTCTAGTTGATGCTCAACAGGAACCAAGAAGCTCAAGGTCAGTCAATGACTCAATGCATCCTTCTAGTTGTTTCTATATTGGCTATCTGTCAGATGTTAAGTGATCTGAAGAAAAGTGTTTTATCTCACAGCAAGAGCTTTTTTGAGATACAGAGGAAGTGGAAAGAGGAGCTAGACCAAGAGCTAGAGAAAAAGCGAGGTAGACCTCTCTCCCTGTCTCTCTACTTCAGTCCTTCTCTCCCAGATATCCCTTTGAGATCCTCTCCTTATCACCTACATGTGCCTTATAACCCTTCCATTTTCACCATCTCAAATCCTCCATAGTTTGATCTCAAGGCATACTCTGTTCTGTGTTATATTGTGTACCATGTGACTTTAAGGAGTACAGCATTTAATCCAGAGTGTATGTATCATTCTCAATTTGTGCATCTGGCTGATGAGAACCTCTAGATTTAAGGCTCAACATGTGGCAATTTACCAATATGGTCACAATACACATGCATTATGTTTAAGAATTCACCTGTGGATGTTCTTCAATAGGAATAGAGGTTTTTGAGATAGATCACCATCCATTGAGTTCCGACTTTAGTGGCCCATTTCTTCCTTTAGTCTCTTAACCATTTGACTGCCATAGGTTTGTTCAGAAAGTTCAGAACTTGATGAGTTATCATTGGGTGGGGGGATTATGTAGTTGGTAAAAATTGCTTTGTTTTGCGGATAACAATGCGGGATAACATGTATCCGGCATTATCCTATGTTTGGTGTTTCAAAGGTTGGATTGAACACATATGATTGGATTTTTCAATTGTATAATCCGAGGGATAAAATAGTGGTGGATTACAAACCTACCCATGAGGTTTGCATTTATTAAACTATGCTCCCTTGATTTTAGAAATTGCAAAAATCCCTTGAGTTTTCGATTATAGTCAACTGCATTAGGTCATTTGATTTAGACCCCAAAATAATGATTTTTTAAAAAACATGAAAATCTCTCTTTCTCCTCCCCCAAATGCCCCCCCAACCTACCAAACAAGGGACCCCCTTAACCTCCCCCTCCCCTGAAAACTATGACCACGATAACCGAAAGTCCATACCTCCACACTGTCATCATTAGTACCACCACTCCTGCCCTTATTTTTTAAACCCTCAAAATTCAAACTGGCATGGGGTGTTCGTTGACACGGAATTGTATCTGCATTCTGCTAGAAAGAAAGAAGACAGGCAAAGTAGAAAGTTTCCCTGATTTTTTGACTTTGATTCTTTACTTTGAATTTTCTTGAAACGGTGAATTGGGTTACATCTGCAGAGAACCCTTGTAACCCTGATACATCTGCAGAGAAGACTTATCTTTGCTAGTTCTGCAAAGTGTCCGAACAAAATCGGTGTTTTACCAGAAAAAAATTGTTCAATTTTCTTTTTAAAGAGTCTGATTTGTGGAATCATTCCCCCTTTCTTTGACGTATTACTATTCTAATTATGCTTAGTTTCTCTTATACCTGGGCACATTATGAAGCTGTAGCCAAACCTAGAGTGTGTGAATTACATCATAGACTTGATGTGGACTGTCTGTATTGCGTGTTTAAATGTGTATGCCTTGTTGTAAAACATTGGTTGCAGAGATGATGCGTCAAACAGCTGTCGGAGGAAAAACATCATCCCCAAAGGATCGAGCTTTGAACCGGCAGAGAGAGAGGTCAAGGTTTGCATCTCCAGGGAAATGACAGTGTATGTAGCTGCACTAATGGTGAAAAGGATACCTGGTGGAGCCGACTGGCCAGTTTCGCTTGAAAATACATTGTCACACCCTCCACTAGATTACTCATGTGCGTCATTGTATGTTCTTTGAAAGGCCAAGCTAGTGTGTATGCCGCTGTGCCACACAAACACGCATTTTTGAAAGTAAGTTTGAATATGCATAGTTCTTTTTTTCTTTTTTGGGGTGTTGGAGGGTTTGGTTTTCGATATATGATCTTGAGTTGTGTTCAGTGCATAAAGTCTGTATTTCCTCATGTAAAATAATCATTTCCCACTTGTTTCCTGTAACTTTTTTTTTTGGGTCAGTATTAGTTTCCTGTAATTGTGCATTTCAATTGAGGGTTACTTTTAGTTCTTTATGGAATATATTTAAGAGCACATCTGGTACTATTTTATGATCGATGATTACTTACAACATACAACCCCCTCCCCCCAACACACAAACCCCAATGTGAATTGTATCCATTACAATTATGGGTTAATTGTAAATTATACTTCGAAAGATAGTTCAAATCTCAATTTGTATCACCAAAGATCAAAAATTTTAATTTATACTCTTAAAGATAGAAATTTGTATTAATGTGTATTTTCAAAAATTAAAAATTTCAATTTGCACTTTCAAAGATAAAAATTTGTATTAATGTGCACTTAAAATTAACTGTTGCCAGTTTGTTGCTTAAAATTAAATTGATAAATTATATTTAGATGCCCTCGTACTTATCACTTAATTATTTGGACGTTTCCACAAAATAAAAGGTAATATAAAAGTATAATTTTTTATTAGGATAAAATCATATTTTTTAACGGCTATAAAATCATAATAAAAATACTCGCAATATAAAATGTGCCTCTAATTGAACATTCAAATAATTATGTTTAAGTGATATATTGCGTTACATATAAAAAACATTATATAAATACTTACATTCTATTAGACATTCAAATGGTAAACTTGATTCTGAACTTTAAAATATATTAAACTCACAAAATAAAGGGTAATATGAAATTATAATTTTTTATTAAAATAAAATTATATTTTTTAACGGTTTTATTAACATATATCAACGAAAAGGGGTTACGTGTTACACATGCACAAATGTCATGAGATATTATATTAATATTCTAATTGTGAAGGGGTCTAAATGATTAAGTGACAAACATAAGTATAATTTATCAATTTAATTTTAGACATCAAACTGACAGCAGTTAGTTTTAGGTGCACATTGATACAAATTTCTATTTTTGCGGGTGCAAATTGAGATTTTTGATTTTTGGGGGTGTACATTGATACAAATTTCTATCTTTGAGGATACAAATTAAAATTTTTAATTTTTGAAGGTATAAATTGAGATTAAAAATATTTTTCGGGGTGCAATTGTAATTAACCCTATAATTATGCTAAAGTTTATTAAATAATCACCAAACATGAATGAGTGAATGGCCCACTTATGATAGTAAGTTTCATTTGAATCAATGGTTGGTGATTTAATATTGAGTGGAACTGTAATTGAGTATGATTTAAAATCAACCCCCTCATTCTTCCAAAAAAAAAAATAATAAAAATCTATGGCCAAAAATTCATGTAAAACTAAGCAACTCATTCAAAAATGGCTGTTATTGATTGAAAAAACCTCACAATTACATATCAAAGTAAGGTAAACAAGAAATTAAAAACAACAAATAAACCAATGTTTTATGGACATCGAGAAAATATCTTCAACACTCCGAAAGAGAATCACTGTAGTCAAACAGAATCAGCAAATAAACCCCATAATCATATTCTCCGAGCTGATAATCCTAGTGTTACTGCAGTAGGACGCTGTTTCAGACCACTCATCATCCTTATCATCTCTTCACTACTCTTCTGTACAGATTTTCTGCTTTTCAATGGGGACACCAATCTGTTTGCCAATTTCGATGGCGAAAACGATCTGCGTAGTCTCGCCGCAGTTGATAACTTTGGTGATTTCTTGCTCAAACTGGTGCCTCTAGGTGGAGAAACAGAGAGTGGTTTACTCTTGATTTTCACTTGAAACTTTGAGGCCCTTGTGGGGGATAGAGAGGGTTGTGGACTCCTGATTTTCACGTGAACCTTTGAGGCCGAGGGCGGTGGGGACTTGATCAAGAACTTATGTGGAGGTTGTTGATTTCTTCTGGCAATTACCGGGGACTTTGTTTTGCAGAACTTTTGGTGCTGTGAAGTGGGAGATGAATGGAACATTGGGTTGGGAAAAAGAACTGTCTTTCTAGCCCATGGTCTGTTCTTTGGGGACACTCTGTTAGCCAAGTACCACCTGTTATTTTCTTTCTCAGATTCTCTCTTGTGCACAGGTGATACTTTGAAATTTATGCGAGATTTCGCCCGTTGGAGAGATGGCGTATCGGATTCTAATCGAATTGATTGTAATGTAGCTTGTTTTTCTGTCTTTCTTCGCACACGAATGTCAGAAGTTTCATGGTTTGTCCTATGGTTTCGCCTCAGGGTGAGTGGAGTTGTTGGATCATCAGATGTGGGTTTTTTAGTCTTGGAAGCTACTGCTTCCACTATTTCTCTTGCAAATTGACTTGCCTGTAGAATCTCTCCCACTGTTTCGCCCAGAAGCATGGCTGGAAGTGACATTCTTCGCCATTCCCCTGTACACAAAATTATCAAACACTTCAGTTATCTAGTGTGTGTGTGTGTGTGAGAGAGAGAGAGAGAGAGAGAGAGACCTGCATTTGTGGGTAATTTTACAGGTGGAGATTTTTGGGGGTTGGCATTCTTAAGCCTTGAAATTGGAGAGAAAAAACAGGGAAACCCAGATCAGTATACATATTGGACTAATGAAAACAACAAAAGATCAATCGTTATCATAAATTTCACTTGAGAACAGAAATTTTGTACCTTAAAGACTCTTGTTTGCACCTAATGCTTGCCTTCAAATAACCTCTGGTACTGCGAGGACTAAGAGTCACCCCAGAGATCACCTTCGTCCCACCCGCAACTGTGTACTGAAGCTCTTGCAATCGAGCCATACACTTATCCACCTTCAAAAGATTCACAAAGTCGCAGAAACCATCAATCTTTATTAGAGAGAAAGAGAGTGAGTGAGTGAGAGAGAGAGAGAGAGAGAGAGAGAGAGAGAGAGAGAGATTCTGAATTGCAGAAATTTGATAAATCCAGAGACCCAGCCATGATGGTATAAAGGGTTTCTGAAGCCGCATAAAAATCAAAGAGGGTATTAGAAAATTAGAAAGAGAATGTGTAAAAGAGGGAGGAGCCTCTGATGGTGTACCTTGTTTAGTGTTTCTCTGAGCAGAGTGGGATTGAGAGGAGCCACCATCTTCTTCTGCAGTTTTGGTGGGGTTCTGGCAACCATTTTTCTCTCAGAAGGAAACAAAAAGTGGGTTTGAAAGGATTTCCTCTTCTTCTCTCTCTGAAGTGAAGGTCAAAACTTGGGCTTCAAGTTCAACATCAGGCATCGAACACACTTTGGGTAACGGATATTTTGTTCTAACGGTCGAATCTGTCGCCGAAAAACGTATGTGAACGGCTACTTCCCATTATTTACTCAAAAATATTACTTTTTTCCAGAATAATAGTGTTGGTGCGTTATTGAGAGAGAGGGGGCGGGGGGTGTAGTGGGCCCGGCACCACCGATCGATTCGTTTGACCAATTAGGTTAGTTTGTCACTCGATTGGATTCGTTTAGGATTTCATTCCATCTAAGTTCAGATTCGATGTAATATGAATTCAATCTGATTATCTAGATGATAACATTTTTATATTCCATATTTTTCTACTAATGTGATATTACAGTTTTACTAAATAGTTTTTTTTGCAATTAAGTCTAGGGGTGTTCACCCTATCGCACAAATAAAAAATATGATTTTTTATTTTTCTTTTTGATACTTTATGGAATAATTTTTCTTGGCCTACTCTATCTGATCATGTGTAGTATTTCTACCCGACTTAATTGGGTAGAAAGTCGGGTGAACACGTTTTGTAGTTATTAATTTATAGATTATTTTAACAATTCAATTAAATAACTTGCACCAATTTAACAATACAATAAACTAATAACACTAAAACTTAAAACAATTACAATAAAACACAAGAAAACTCAAGGTGTAAACATCAATCCATCATAATTGTTGTACAAATACAATAACAACTATTTTAAGTTTAAATCATATGAAATTCATCAAAAATCATAACTATTTTAATGTGGGTATTCCCTAGGGTAGAAATATGGAAATTTGATAGGTATTATGTATTCTTATTCGATTTTTTCGGTTAACTGATCAATAGGATAGAGTGGGGTCGGATAGGGTAGGAAATTCCAGATAATTGGAAATTTGAACACCCCTTTTTAAGTCTATCAATGAATCAAATTGCAATCCAGATCTCATTAGGGTAGGAACAAATTAGATATTGTCAAAATCTGATTTTGAATTTGAATCCAATTGTGTATCCATTATATAATATTTCATGAGGCTTGATTTGGATTATAGCCATTTGATCTGATTGTGTTACAATGAGTTATATATACGATTATGTATAAATATATGATAAAATTGAGTGATTATTTGATTAAATTGATTTGAAAATAAGATGTAACTTGTTAAAATTTCATAGCTATTAAGTTATTCAAATTGAATTCAACTTTTGGTTTGGATTTAAAATTCGCACGTGGAGTATTGAAACGAAATCTATCGGGTAAATAAATGGAATTGCCATCGAAGTCTTGAATTTTTGTCCAAACAAGCACTCTCTTTCAAAATAATTCCAAATCTACCACTATTGTGAATTCAATTACCATTCTAATGCTCTACTTGCCATCTCATCAAGTATATTTGGCAAGTGTTTAGGTCTCTTGCTTCCTTAATAGCTTCATATGGAAACTATATAACTTTAAATGTGATTGCTTTTTTTGAATTTTTCTATCATCGCCAATATACTATCCCAAGAAAAAAAATAAACACCAATATATTATCCCAATAAAACATTTTATTAGCCTATATCCTTTAAACCTATAGGATATCAAAACAATGCATGGTTTCACAAGTAGGGTAAAAAAAAAAAAATTAATATACGATTATAATAATTGTCATAATGTTGTATATCATAAGTTCTTCCATTTAGTTGGCCCCAAACAAAAAGGAGGTCCATTTGGTGCACATGTACAAAAAAATGATATTGAGTTATCAAATTCTTCATCACAATTAATGGGTGAAAAGATGAAGAAATACAATCAAATAAGGAGAGAGAGAGAGAGAGCATAGATGAAATTTATGCTCTTTACACGTTGGCAAAGAGGAATCTCTTTTAAAATTTCAAGTCAAAAAAACATATGCAATTACAACAACTGTCATAATGTTGTATATCATATGTTCTTCCATTTAGTTTGCCACCAACAAAAAAGAGGTCCATTTAGTGCACATGTACAAAAAAATGATGTTGAGTTATCATATTCTCCATCATAATAATGGGTGGAAAGATGAAGTAATACAACCAAATAAGGAACGAGAGAGAGAGGGAGAGAGAGAGAGAGAGTACATAGTTTATATCTTTACGTTTTGGCAAATAGGAACCTCATTTAAAATTTCAAAGTTTCTATATTTAACATGAGAGTGTTGTAAATCAATGAAATATTAACAAAATATTAAGAGAGCAAAACACAAAAATATATAAAAAAACAAGTTCTTTATGAATTTAATATATTAATGTGTTAATCTTTAGGATCACATTTTTTTTCTTTTTCTTTTCATTGCATTACGTTCAAACTTAAGAAGGCCTTTTATAGGCAAATATAGAGTGTTGATAGGGGAGGTTAGGGATTGTGGAGTTTATCCACCTTTATATTGTACTAGTTAGTGCACACGTATGAGCATCAAATATTACTCCATATTGATGCGAAAAATCATGAACTACCATAAATCATACAGATTAATTGTGTTTTTGTTAGGTTTCATAGACAAGTTTTTGAACTCTTTTACTATTAGATGTCCACAATGAGTTAGGTAGTATGCATTGTTTAGTGTTCACCAAAAAGCTGACAGATAGTTGATAACCCAGAGGTAAAATCAAATTTTCACAAAGAAATTCATGATTTAGAAAACTTCAACTAAACCAATAGGAGAATTATCACATGTTTTTAGAGTTATGTCATTCGAGAACTCCTCACTTGTGCATATTATCATTTTCCCAACTATTGTGAGTATGTTGAGTGGGTGGTGGCTATTGTCGTTGCACTTTAGTTACAAAAGCCATCAAACATTCTTTCCTTTCTTCCATGGCATAACAAAACCTAAATTAACATATTATCTGGGAGAGTTTTCTTTTGTTAAATTTTGTTTGTATTGGAAATCTCATGTAATTTTACCATTACCCACAACAGAATATAAAAACAACTCTTGTCTTATGACAATTTTTTAGCCAAAGAGAATTCAATATCTTCTGTTATAATCTAGACTAACGAAAAATTAATAGCTTAATATAGGTAAAGTTATGTAGAAAATCTCTGCAATAGCTTATAATAGCCAACTTAAGAATATGATTTTCTCATCAACTCCATTTGATTTCAATTACATTGTATTCATTGGCATTTCAATAAAAAATTCCCTCATCAAATCACATATATCACATTATTAAAATACTACAATCACTAAAATCCAAATAAGTGATTCAAATTAGCTTCTACTTAAATAAACCTGATACTACATACAACTCTATCTCTTTTTTTTTTGGAAGGCAATAATACAATTACCTCACTGAGCAGAAAATATAGAAATCGATGTTCAATTTCACTGAGTTAAGAATCTAAAAATCAAATTTCAAATTTTTGGTAGGCTCTTGTATTGTTTTAGCAACTAAACAGAAGTGTAGTTTACATAAAATTAGAAGTACAACAAAACAAACAAAAATTCAAATCGTTATAACTTATACCTAAATTGCATCCTTCGAGTTCAAGAGGCAAATAAGCCCAGTATTTTCAATGTCAAATAAACTGCTAATCAAATACATGTGCAACTATAGGAGCAGTTTCCAAATGAAAACACTGAACCTAGAGATTATGGTTTCAAAATATGATAACCAGTCACAGAGTTGGAAATATTTAGACATAGACTTAGTATAGCAATTGAATGGATTACAAGTAAAAACCAACATTTGGTCATGCACTCCAAACTATTGGGAAAAAATTGAAAAAAACAAGTGTAAGGAAAAAAAATTGCAACCAATTTGCAAACAAAACCACAATCACAAAAGTAAACCCAAACCTTGAGCTATTGGCACTATGAACAAAATTTAAAAATCCACAATGATAACAAACATAACGGTTGTCTTACTTAATGTAATCTTGTTATAAACATGCAAAAAATATTCCTAATGCAATCAATGTGGTCTTGGTATAATTCCTTCAATGTCAAGTATAAGCTAATAATGTGCAATACCATGACACAAATATCTGCCATGTATTTCAAGGGGACCAATGGATGCTGTTGCACATAATTGATACAAATATGTTCTTGAGAGATTGACACTATTGATCGTTGATCCCCATAGCTTAGTAACAAAGTTAAAATATAGATGAACGGTTCTACTAAAAAAAGAAGCATAGCTAAGGTCAAAGAAGTTACCTCATCAAAGAGATATACCTAATGCAATGTAGTTTCCTAAACCATACTCAAAACTTTAAGCTAGTTTTTTAAATATACCCTCAACTCTATAGTCAATGAATGTCTAGAATGGCCAAATGAACCACTAAATTTGTTATGATAAATAACAATATCTCTTGTACACCATTGTGCCAGTGGGAGGTGGCGCCAAATGGCCTGTGAGAGGCGACATCGACTTGGGAGCGAAAGGTGGCGCCATTGGAGTTGGGGCTAACGTCCTTAGCGAGATTAATAGGGAGGAGGGTGATGGAGCAGGAGGTACAAACAACACTCCAAGGCGAGGAATCGACGAAGATAGCCTATCGGCCCTCACCAAGGTGAGGAATCGTTACGGCCCTCGCCTCTGCTCCATGGACTAAGCTCTAGGAAATCTCCCATCATCTAGCTCAATAGATACTAGTATTCTCTTGACACTGACTTTGATTCTGTCATGGTTTTGTTTGTTGGCAGACACCCATTCTGACGAGTGCATCATGAGGGAGGTTACTCGAGACACTAGGAAAGGCAAGGGATCCACTGGAGATAATGGTTCAAAAGTGACCTCCATGTGTCATCGCCTAGAGGAGGATGAGCCAGCATGTTATGACTGCGAACTTGAGGTTATTGATTCCCGTGCCCATATGTCGAGTCCTAGAACATCTATCATTGGCTCCTGGGAGGTTAGCTCCCAACGGGTGGAGGGTGATATTGACATTCTTTTCATTATAGAGGCTGGTTCACAATGTTGATGTCCCTCCCCTATTCGAGGAGTTCTTGGCCACGTATATGCTCGTGGAGAACTCCATCCCTCTTCAGGGGTGGTATCGTTTCGCCCTGAGGTCGGACAAGTTCATCATTAGGCTTCCTTCGAACTATCATAGCTAGAAGTCTAAGTTCTTTTTCGTTGGAGGTGAGTGGGCCATAGAGAATAATCGTGACCTAGTGCCTTTGAGGCGGGACATCGTCCCCAGGACTAAGTTAGGTAATGATTCCACTTTTGATTTTACTTCTAGTTATAACATATCTGCTTTTACTGTACGAATGGCTTCTTTGTAGCTCCACCGACATTATTTGTGGAGCAAGAGAGTACACTCCAAACAGTATGCGACCATCCTTTCAAGGAATTCTCGGGGATTAAGTTCACGTTAGGTCGCTCCAAGGCTATTCCCAGGCCGTAGAGGAAAGGTATATGATCTTTCTAATAGACTCTTTATGGTTATAACATCGTAGGTTCTTTATCTCACACCGATTTTGAAGGTACCTCTATTGATAGAGTGGTGGTGGAGGTTGTCTACGCTTCTAGGGTGGCGTCTTCCCCTCCTTCTTCTAAGAAGGTGAAATCTGATGCCCCCCCATTCTTCCTTGGTTGCTGTTTCTTCGCCCCCCAGAGATAGTCCCAGTATAATTGTGGGGACTACTGCCTTGGTGCGGTCTCCTACTAGGATATAGGCTCTGCATAGCCATCATATTTCAAGCGGTAGTTTAGTATCCATGCTACAAGACGTGAATCTAGCCAAGGAGTGACTTTGGGGGTTTGTGACTCATGCGGAGATCCAGGAGGTTGCCTCTCGAGGTCCAGAGGGCATGGTTAATAGTGCCATGGAGGCTTTGTCTTGGTATGCCCTATATTCTTTTTTGGTCTCATTCCTGACTTCTTTCCTTCATATTCCATCTTTTGAATGCCTGTAGGTGGCTCCTACTTTTCCCTGCTTGTTTTCAAGTACGTTGAAGATTAGGGAGGCACTTGATGGTCAGGCAGTAGAGGGACAAGCACGAAAGGCTGTTGAAGAGCAGTTAGGGCTCGAGTGGCAGGTGCGGGAGGCTGCCAAGGAGCAATCGAGGCTAGCACACGAGAGAGCTACCATACTTAAAATCGAGCATGAGGCGTACCGCATGAGGGCCGCCCAACTAGAGGCTGACAGAGAGGCTACCTGCGCGAGAGTAGAGAAAGGGCTGTGAACGTCCTGTGAGAGGGCCGCTATAGCAGAGGCTAACCTTCAAGCAGCTCTTGAGAGAGCTAACAAGGCAGAGGCTTACTTTATAGAGATGGAGAAGAAGAGGGATGCTATTGAGAGGGCCGTGGCACGCGCCTTTATTGATGACTATGAGGAGCTCAAGAGGAAGGTCTCAACAGCTTTTTCCGCTTATGATTTTTTTGATTTCGTCCCTTGTAAGGCTTTAGGGACTGAAGACGAGGAGGCAAGTGATGATCGGAGCGAGGACAGTGAGTGACATCGGCAACGTGGTATTTATGTTTTTGTTTCTAAGTTATGTTCTATCTTTTGTAAATGCTTTATTAACTTCTATGAAATGAGAAACAAATTTTTTGAAAAAGACAAAATCTTGTGAAATTTTATTTCATGATCCGAAATAGGTAACAATGAAAATTAAATAAAGTAACAAGAAATAACTTAAGTGGTAACTACTGACTTGTGCACCCAATGTCCTGCCCCCAGTTACTGGTAACATTTTTTTAGATGCTATGCGTTTCATGGATGGGCCAGAACTTTCTCCTTAGAATTCTGAATTCTGTAGGTGTCTGGTCTTACAACTTCCATGACCATGTAGGGTCCTTCCTAGTTAGGTCTTAGCTTCCCTTCTCGGGAGTCTTTGATAGACATGATGACCTTTTTGAGTACTAGGTCCTCAGGCAAGAAGGCCCGAGGGTTTACCCTCGAGTTATAGTACTTGGTCATGCGACGTTTGTACTCTGCATTTCTGATCATGACCATCTCCCTCTTCTCATCTACCAAGTCGAGGTCGATGCTGAGGTGTTCTTCATTGCTAGTAGGGTCATAGTGTTGGACCCTAAGGGAATGTACTCCAATCTTAATGGGTATGACCGTCTCTGTCCCATAGGTTAGGGAGAATGGGGTCTCACTTGTGGGGTTTCTTGGTGTCGTCCGGTACGCTCACATCACTCCCAAGAGTTCGTCTACCCATCATCCTTTCGCACTCCCCAATCTGGTTTTCAAGTTGTAGAGGATGGTCCTAACGGTGACCTCTGCATGTCTATTCACCTGTGGATGGGCAGGGCTAGGGTGGGGCTGCTTGATCTGTAGGTTGGCATAGAAGCTGTTAGGGAGTTTGTTGTCAAACTGTTTGAAATTATCCCTCACAAAGGGGTGAGGTATTCCAAAGCGGTAGACTATATTCCTCCATATGAAGTCTTTCACCTTATAGATTGTTATCCTGGCTAAGGCCTCGAACTTTGTCCATTTAGTAAAGTATTCAATGACTATTACTACAAACTTGCACTGGCCCCGACTCATGGGTAGGGGACCTAGGATGTCGATCCCCCACATGGAGAAGGGCCATGGGCTCTAAATGGTGGTGAGCTCTTCAGGTGGCTGTCTGGTTACAGTCGCAAAGCGTTGACACTTATCACACTTCTTGACCAACTCTCGGGCGTCTCTAATCAGGCTAGGCCAGTAGTAACCTTGCCTTACTGCTTTATGGACTAGTGCACGCCCTCCTGAGGGATTTCTACGTATCCCCTCGTAGATTTTTCTCATGGCGTAATTGACTTCCTCGGGGGTAAGACAGCGGAGAAGTGGCAATAAGTAACTCTTTTTGTAGAGTGTGTCGTGGAAGATAACACACTTGGATGCTCTCATTCTCAACTTTCTAGCTTCCACTGGTTTGTCTGGGAGAGAGCCCTACTCTAGGTAGGCTCGGATGGGAGTCATCTAGTTGCCTTCCAAGGATGTACAATTAACATCGTCCTCCTCTGTCTTGAAGATGCTTGGTTCGAACTAGTGGCCTGTCACTGTCGGGCCCATGAGTATATTGGTAGACGCGAATTTGGCGAGGGCGTCTGCTATGGTGTTATCCTCTCGAGGCACATGGTGATTTGAAACCAGGTAAACTTTTTTAACAAAGACTGGACCACATACAAGTATTCTTGCATTCTCTCCTCCTTTGCTTCAAAGCCTCCCTTGACCTAATTGACTATTAGCTGTGAGTGACTGTAGATTTTCAGGTAGAGGGCCTCCATCTCTAATGCTTGCTTTAACCCTGATATGTGGGTTTTATATTTAGCTTGGTTGTTTGTAGTGAAGTGGAGGGAGATGACATACTTTAGCGGTGTACCATAGGGGCTGATCAGCACTAGTTCTGCACCGCCGCCCTCGCTAGTAGAGGATTCATCCACGTAGAGTCTTCAACTTGGTACAGTAGATGGTAGTGAGGGCGCGGAGGTTTCAGGTGGAGTAATCACAAGGGAGTTGGGCGCCTTCAGTCTTGGAGTGTGGTCTCCCGAGGCCTGTGGAACTGAGACGTCAGGCCCTCTTGAGGTAGTGTTTGGGCTTGCCTCATGGTGGGTTAAGGTCGTGTGTATTGAGTGGGTGGGTGCAGGGGCACGTGGTACTTCCTTTTGGGATTCCTGTGGTGGGGTAGACTCCCGAATTCTTGTGGCGACATAGAATCATTGGACTCGAGAGGCGGTGTAGATTTGGCCATGGAGTTCGCAAGTGGTTGTGCTTTGATGGCTGCCCTCGGTTGATATTGCACATCGAACTCACTTAACTCGGTGACCCACTTGAGTAGTCGGCCAGACACATCAGACTTTTCCAGAATTCTCTTGAGTGGTTGGTCTATAACCACCACGATGACATGACTCTAAAAGTAGTGGCGTAGATGCCTGGCGACGGTGACAAGTGCGAGAGCCAACTTTTTAAGCTCCGAGTACCTTATCTCTGCCCCTCGGTATGCCCTACTTACATAGTAGACAGGCTTCTGGATGCCTCCATCCTCCCGGATAAATACAAAGCTCACGACAGAGGGTGAAGATGAGAGGTAGGGATACGGGGTCTCTCCTGGTATAGCATGAGAGAGCAAAGGTGGTGTGACGAGGTGGGCCTTAAGTATCTAGAAGGCCTCCTCTACATCTGGTCCCTACTAGAAAGACCTGCGTAAGATTTTAAAGAAAGACATACATTTATCTACTGATTTAAAGACAAACCTGCTAAGGGCCGTTATCCTCTCATTAAGGCGTTGGACTTTCTTTATTGAGGCTGGGGACCTCATCTCCAAGATGGCTCTGATCTTGTTTGGGTTGGCTTCAATACCCCTTTTATTGACTATGAAGCCTAAGAATTTTCCTGAACTGACGCCAAAAACAGACTTTTTAGGATTCAACTTCATTGTGCAGGCTCTTAGTACATCAAAGGTTTTCTGGAGGTGTCACATGGTCTGCCATAGTCATATTTTTCACCAACATATCGTCTACGTAAACCTCCGTAGTCTTCCCAATCTGGGCCTCGAGCATCTTGTTTACGAGGCACTGATATGTGGCTCCGGTGTTCTTGAGTCTAAAAGGCATCATCCTGTAGCAATAAGTGCCATTTGGGGCGATGAATGAAGTTTTCCCTTGGTTTGG